CAGTGCGAGCAGATCGAGAAATGCGTGAAGGCGCGGGAGCAGCTGGAGCTGTGTAACGAGCGGGTGGCCTCCCGCTCCCACACGGAGGAGCAGTGCACTGAGGAGCTCTTCGACTTCCTGCACGCCAGGGACCACTGTGTAAGTGCTGCGGGCCTGAGCAGAGCTGCCTTCTGTCCCTCTGTCTTGTTTATTGTTTAGTTCGTCCTTGTTACAGCAGGTTTAGCTGGGATTCTGTGCTTATTAAACAATGAAATAATTCAAACAGTGTTTGTACCCTGCAAATAGCGCTTAGCTATTTCTGTCTTGTACTTGCCATTTTAAAGTTAAGGCTTTTGAACCTGAGCTGAAGGTTTGCAAGGCATCTCAATAGCATTCTTGAATGACGTTTTGCAGAGCAAAAGCAAGGGCTGTGAAGCTGTGTGCATTGTTGGCCCAGAAAACCAATAGGCAGCACCTTGCAGATTTCCCTCTCATGAGTTACTGAAGGCTCTCTTTCTTTCCAGGTTGCTCACAAGCTTTTCAGTAAGCTGAAGTGAAGGGGGGCATGGTTGTCCATCTGCTTCCACAGCCGGTGCCAGCAGTTCCTGGATCACAGTTCTGCTTCCTGCAGTCCATCCTCTGTGCTGAGCATGAATGAAACGGCTTCCTGGCAGCCTGTCACTGCCTCTGTGCTCATGGAAGATGTGCAGCTGTGCAAAAACAAATCAAACAACGTGTTGATGTTCTGTAATTGTCCATATTAAACATTGAGAGTTCCTGTGGAAGTGCCCTCTGTTTATTTCCTAGTTCTCATGCTTCTGACTTGCACTGGGTTAAGATGAAATCAGTGTGTGCCAGAGCCAAGTTAAGGGCAGGAGAGTTTTCCTCTCTTGTGGGAATGTCATTTTTGGTGCTGCCAAAATGGACAGCTGCTGCAGCCCAGTCCTGTGGGGGAGAATTTGTCTGTTGGAGCCACAAAGATTATTCCTAAGCCCCTCAAGAACAGCGTTGTTCACACAGTATTTTCTGACCAAGTTAGACTGAAGGGAGTGACCCTTTTATGGAGAGAGAAGTTTGTCACACCCTCAGGGGAAAGCTGTCAGCTGTCCCTCACTGTCTCCTGCTTCTGCCAGGGGCTGGCAGAGCCTCCTGGCAGCCGCCAGCTCTGCCTACTTGCCCATGAAACCAACCATGTGCCTGTGCAGGTGCATGGGGGTGGTTCAGCTACTCGCGCCCCGGTCAGGGTCACCTGGGGGGAGTTAAAGCCTTTCTGTGTGAGTTACCAGCCTATTCTGCTCACCCTGGGACTGCCCTGTCCGTGCTCTGCCTACTCCTTTCTCAAGAGACAGTGGTAGGAGGAAAACTAGGGTATCTCACGGCTATTCTTCAAAGTGGAATGAAAGCCACCACCTTATAAATTTGGCTGTTGTTTATCCTTATAGTGGTTCATGGTCCTTTTGCTGACGGATTTCAGGCTTTATTGGGTTAAGGGTACCATGTAGGTTCCAGTAGGTTTAGGTTATTGTTTTTTTCCTGTGGCACAGGGCAGGGTCCAGCTGTGCCGCTGCAAAGAGCGATTGTTGCCGGACCGTTTTCAGCAGCCAGCTCAGAAATGACCGGACATTTAGGTTGGAAGGGACCTTAGAGATCACTGAGCACAGCCTCGTTCCCCGGGCCC